GCAGGGTTGAGTATGGATTAAATAAAGGATGGACTGGGGACAGGGAGAACAGTTAATGGACTAAGTAAAGTTGTGAGGGCCTAAAATATGGTAGGAGGGAGAGAGAGAGAGAGAGAAGGGGATGGATATGAGTGACATTAGGAAGGTGAACTGGCCGGGCACAGTGGTTCACGCCTATAATCCCAGCACTTTGGGAGGCCGAGGTGGGCGGATCATGAGGTCAGGAGATCGAGACCATCCTGGCTAACACAGTGAAACCCCGTCGCTACTAAAAATACAAAAAATTAGCCAGGCATGGTGGCGGGTACCTGTAGTCCCAGCTACTCCAGAGGCTGAGGCAGGAGAATGGCGTGAACCCGAGAGGCAGAGCTTGCAGTGACCTGAGATCGAGGCACTGCATTCCAACCTGGGCGACAGAGCAAGACTATCTTAAAAAAAAAAAAAAAAAGAAGGTGAACTGGTCCTTGCCTTCAAGAAATAAGTATCTCCACAATCTAGTGGGAGATACTAAAAAACAAGTAAGGCAATAATGAAAATATAGTGTCCTAATTGCTGTGATAGGTGTTAAGTACATTAGAGGGCCCTCTAATGCTCTAATTAGTGGATGTGACATTGAAGCTGAGACATAAAAGGGGTAAAGAAAAGAATTCTAACTGTGCAACGGCTTAGTGGAAAAGCAGATAGGACCCATGGAAATAATTTAATTCTACTGGCTGGTTCTTAGGAATACAAGAATGGGGAGTTAATAAGAAGGCAAGAGAAGTAGACGTTAGATTATAAAGAACCTTAAATCCACGTGAAATGCTTGAACTTTATTGCCCAGGCTGAAGTGCAGTGGTGTGATCACGGCTCACTGCAGCCCCGACCGCCTAGGCTTAAGCAATTCTCCCACCTCAGTCAGCATGTGCCACCAGGTCTGGCCTTTTTTTTGTAGAGATGAAGTCTCACCTTGCTGTCCAGGCTGGTCTCAAACTCCTGGACTCAAGCAGTCCTCCTGCCTTGGCCTCCCAAAGCGCTGGGATTACAGGCATGAGGGCTTTGGATTTATACTTCAGAGACACCGCCCAGAGATTAAGCATGGAGAATGTACAATATTTGGTAATAGGTTGAATTAGGGTGAGAGAAAGAGAAGCCAAGGATGATGTCCTTTATGATATCATGATTACAAGCTCAAACCAGACTGCCCTCATTCAAATCCCAATTCTATGCTTTATCAGTTGAATGACCTAAGGCAGATTACTTTTCTATGCCTCAGATTTGTTATCTAATATGTGCATAATGACAGGACTCATCTCGTATTATCAGGTTGAGTCTAATGAGCTAATACATATGAAGTGCCTGGCATTGAAGAAGGTACACAATATGTGTTAACTATTTTATTAATATTATGCCCTGATTTCTGGCCTGGCAAAGAGGTGAAATTTCCTAGGACAGATTTTATAGGAACAGGAAGTATGGGGTTAAGATAACTGGTTCATTCTGACTGTGTTGAACTAGCAGCCAACGGTACAGAGCTCAATGGATGGTAACTGAGGTCACAGGAAGGTGGTTCAGTGAGAAGATTTAAGGGCCTGTGACATAAGCCTGAAGAGCAGCGACATTTAAGGGATATACAGAAGAAGGAGGGAGAGCTCCCAAAGGAAGCTGAGAATAGAAGAAAAGGCAGAAAAATTTTAAATATGCTTTTATGGAAGCTTCAAGGAGACAAGATGGCTAACAGTGCCAAATGCCAAAGATTGAGCAAATAAGACGAGGGTTGAAAAGGATCTATTAAACAGTATCAAGAAGGTTATCAGTGATCGTGGTAAGAACCAGATGTACTGAGTAAATAGGAGGCCCAAGGTGGATACAATGAGGGTATTCTAGTTGTGAAGTGGAAAAGCTAGGGCAGTAGGTAGAAAGGAATGTGGAGTTAGGAGAGGATTTAAGATGCAATAGATCTGAGCATGTTTAGATGCTGGTAGGAGTCAAGACAGGGCAACATTGGAGAAGGGAGGTCCTTGAGAAAGTGATGATATTGGGATCCAGAGTTCAGGTAGGAGGCAGCCTTAACGGAGAAAGTAACAGATAGGAGTGGCAGGCACTAATAAGCTGGATGGTGTCTGTGGATATGGAGATTGTCAAAGATCTTGTGAAATATCTTTTCCTAAGATTAAGGCTCTTACTCTTCTCTGCACATGCAGAGTGTGGAAGGATAGCAAAGTAGTTAAGGACTTAAATTTTTAAACCTGGCTCTGCCACTTACTAATGACTCTAGCTGCTTCAGTGGCCTCAGACGTCATAAAATGGTTGAGAGAATTAAATGTGTTAATATGCATAAGCCATTCATGTTTGGCAAATACGAAACATTAACTGTTACGACAGGGTTCCCCCTTTCCCACCTCTATTCTATGCTTACTGTTCCTATCATACAACATGTATTCCCTCAAGTGAACAAGGATTCCTAACCGAGACACGTTAAAGTGGCATTTACCTTGACAAATTATAGTTCAAGATATTGACTTTGGTCAAAAATGTGATCTTGTTAGGGTTCCAGAATTGATCCAATTCATGTATTGAGCCAAGGAAGGTATTTTAATAGTGCTCAGAATATCTCTAGTCATCCAGGTATTGTATATACAGTGTGAATGAAACACAACAAAGGTCTTAATTCAACAAAGTTCTCATCAATCACATGCCATTGTTCTCAGCACTTGGGATTCATCAGTGAGTTAAATGAATAAAGGTGATAAGGAGGGCTATTAAAAAAAGTAGATGGCCAGGTGAGGTGACTCACACCTGTAATCCCAGCACTCTGGGAGGCGGAGGTGGACAGATCACCTGAGGTCAGGAGTTTGAGACCAGCCTGGCCAACATGGTGAAACCCCGTCTCTCCCAAAAATACAAAAATTACCCGGGCGTGGTGGCGGGCGCCTGTAATACCAGCTACTAGGGAGGCTGAGGCAGGAGAATCGCTTGAACCTGGGAGGTGGAGGTTGCAGTGGGCCGAGATGGTGCCACTGCACTCCAGGCTGGGCAACAGAGCGAGATTCGGTCTATTAAAAAAAAAAAAAAAAGTAGAGCTGAGAAACGGCGGATTGGAAATGTGTATGTGAGAAAACGTACGTTGCAATTTTAAATAGGGCTGTTAGGCTAAGCCTCATTAAGAAGGCGTCATGTGAGAAAAGATGCAAGAAGCTGTTCTAACCACCTGAACACATAAACCAATAAACAGACCTCAGTGAGGATGTGACATTTCAACTGAACCCCGAAAAATGAGAAAGAATCACGCAGAGTGAAAAAAGTGAAAACAAAGGGATGTCCAAAAATCCCTGACTGCCAGCTTATTGATTTACAAAGAGAACTATAGGCCACCAATCAGATATTCAGATGAGCCTGTCCAATTATTCACTATAAGACTACTGACAAGCCAACTCTTAAGTTTGCTTGGTGAATACGTACTCAGAACAAAAGGACTGAGTTACATGATTTGAATGTCTGACGGAACGGGCTCTGAGAAAAACACTTCCTCAACTCAGGAGAGCCCCTGCTCTTAAGCCGGGATACCCTCTCTCCTCTAGAGGCGTGGATTCATCTGGCTCAGGTGCGCCCCTCTTTTTTTATTCTATGCTCCAGTAGCGGATCAGACCCCGACTGAGTAATGCACAGTATTTCAGGATATTTCACAGTCGTTGGGACAGTGTCAAGCCTTTGATGGTCTGGTTAAATTTTGTTCCTTAAAAATCACTTTGAATCTTTCTACTCTAACCCTTTAATGACTAATTTTATAAAGTTTTTCCTTATCTTCCATGTTCTTGGGACACTTCCCTACCTCTGCACTGCCAAACACGCCTCCCCATCACTGAACTGAAAGCGAAAACAGCACAATCTCATCTATCTTTCTAGGCAGGCGCAGCTTCTTCATAAGACCTTGCTAAGACCCTATTATTTTGCCCCCTCTCTGGTAATATACAACTTACTCAGAATCTCATTACAGTCGTGTGCATGTTTTACTTCGCCCTTTTGGCTCCCAGGGGGCGTGCACACAGCTAGCCTCCAACATGTTTTACGGTATTTACCCTCCCTCCTGTGTTCGGGGTCGACCCTTCCTAACAGTGAAATTAGGTCGTCCCAAGCGCCGAGGGGAAAGCGTGCACACAGAACCCTTCAGTACCGGCGCGGGAGACCCGCAGGCCCTGCCCCACCGCCAGAGACCCCGCTGGCGCCCAGGTACCACAGCCGCCCACGCGCCACGGCCTGCAACATCCCGGCTAGAAGCGCTTCCGCTTCACCCACCTGCGGCTTCCGGTCGTGCACACGGCCTCGCGAGGGCGCGAGCTGGAAAAGTGCGCCGTACGTCCCCGAGCAACCGGCAGGCCTTGCGCGCGACCCTGCCCCGCCCCCTAAGGGCCGGCCCCCTGGAGCGCCGGAGCAGGAGGGGCGCGCAGGGATCGCGCCGCGCCTCGCCGCCTGCGGGGTCGTGGGGTCCCCGCAGCCCGCAGGGGTGCTAAGTAAGGGTCCTTCAGGGCGGGAACCAGATTCGAGGCAGGGACGCAGGCCACGTTCGAAAAAAAGTACCGAAAGTCATAAGGCCCCAGTTCAGATGGGCGTTCCCCGCGTGACAGCACAGAGATAACGGCCAGCCCTGGGCGAAGGTAGGAGAGCGGATGTGCTAGGTTGGAGGGGGCATTTCGTGGAGCTAGTTTAGGGGGAGCCCCCAGAAGCCCGGAGCAGTCAGGTCACACGATGGGCAGGAAGGAGGACCAGCAAATACTTTTTACTGAGCATGTAGGCGTTACGCTGGGTCTTTACGTATCTCCTCCAAATAAGTGAGTCCAAGTGGCAGGTGACTCGAAAGGTGACGAAATTCAAGTCAGTTTTGAAAGACACATTGCATTTAAAGGAATAAATGGTATTCGCAGTACAGAGATGATAATACAGGATGGAGTGGATCAGAAAACACACTGAGGCGAGTGATCATTCCCATTTGCCAACTCATTGGAGTTGGCAAGAAAACGCTGTGGTTCCATGAGATGGGAGATTACCCCAGGTATTGCTGCGTAACAAACTGCCTCAAACAGTGGCTTCTATCTCTAACATGGGGGCAAGGTGGGTGACTCCTCTGCTAGTTTCTCCTGGGCATATTCATGTGGCTTCACTCAGCACCGGTTGGCTATGCTGGGCGGTCCAAGATAACCTTATTCATGCTCTGGCAGGTGCTGCCTGGCTGCTAGGGCACCTCAACTGAGGCCTAATCTTGGAAGCAGCGCCTCAGCCATATTCTATTGGCCAAAAACAACAAAGCCAGCCCAGAGTTAAGGTGTGGCGTAGTGGACTTCACCTCTTGATGAGAGAAGCCCAAAGAATTGTTGGTCACCTTTTTCAGTCTTGCTCAGAAATCAATCTCTCCTTCAGTGAAAATAGAAACCACGAAGACTTGCCTCTTGGAGTAAGAATCATTCAATGTTCAGTTTGGTGATGTTGATACGGTAAATGACCAGGGGTTCATGTAAAGCTACAATGAAGACATAATGACACCTCATTTCTTTATTATTACACCTTTTACCAAGGTCACTCTGAGTCTATCTTGTATTGTGCAGGTGGGAATGAATTTTGTTTAGAGTTAACTGCACTAGGAATTTTCCTAGTTATTATTAAAAACAGTCACAGAATATTGTTGCTCTTTGCTTATATTACTTCTAAATTCCCTTTCTCTGAAATATCAGGTGGTACAGTTTTGCGTTTTTTTTCCCCTAGTTTCTTGCTGAAGAGGTTTTAAAGAATCCCATTCCCTCCTCCTTGCCCCAGGACTTCTGTCCCTTGGTTATTCTTAACTTTACCTACTTCTTTAGCTTCTCCACTGGAACCTTTCCAGTGACACTCAAACATGCTGTACTCTTTAACAATCCTCCAGTGACCTCACTTCTTTTTCCACTTTTCATCCTGCCTGCTACCCTTCTGAGCCAACCTTCTTGGAAAAACCACTGTACATCCAGTGTCTACTTTCTCACTTCCCATTCGTTGTTTCAATGTACTCCAAAATGGCTTTCCCCCCAATTATCCAGCAAAAGTGCTTTTGCTAAGGTCACTGGTGACATTCATATTGCTAGATCCAGTGGACTTTTCAGTCTTCATCTAACTGTTCATTTGACTACCTCAACCATTCCTGTGGACAACTGTGACATTACCCTGTCAACTCCTCAGTCCCCTTTGCCAGGTTTTCTCTAGCCTCACTGCCAACTCCTCAGTCCCCTTGGCCAGCTACCCTGCTCTAGTCAACCCCTAAATGTTGGAGTTCCTCAGATCTTTATCTCACACTACATTCTCCTTAAGCAATTTCATTCATTCTATGGCTTTAAGTACCATTTCTGTATACAACTTCAAAATTTATACTTTTTAGTTCCATAGATACAACTGCCTTGTAAACCTGGTAAGTCTAAAAACCATGCTCCTGAACTCACTCTTTTTTTCCCCCAGGGATCCTGCATGCATCTAGCCTTTTTTGCTAGAAGCCCTTTCTTCTTCCTCACTTTCCACTTCCAAACCATGACTACATCCTGTCAAACTTCACCTGTACTCTATCCCCTTCTCTCCACTTTTATGACCATCACCTTCATTCACTTAAACAACCATGTCACTGCAGAAGCTATAAATGTCCTCAGAGGCTGCTCTGTCTATGGAGTAGCGATTCTGTTGTTTCTTTACTTTCTTAATAAACTTGCTTTCAAAAATATCCTGAGATATTCTTTCCCATTTCCCACAGTTAAAATCAAGTTTATGGCCCAGTGGGAGGATTACCTGAGGCCAGGAGTTTGAGACTAGTCTGGGTAACATTGTGAGACTCTGTCTCTAAAAAAATACAAAAACATGCTGGGTATGGTGGCACATGCCTGTAATCCTAGCTACTGGGAGGCTGAGGCAGGAAGATCGCTTAAGAACAGGAATTTGACACTGCAGTGAGCTATGATCGCTCCACTGCTCTCCAGCCTGGGCAACAGAGTGAGACCATCTTAAAAAAAAAAAAATCAGCTTCATGTGGTATGTCTTGTGTTGTGTTATGTCTCTCTGAATGCTATATGTTTCTTCATGGCGTATCACAATTGGCATCTTACTGTATAATGTCCTGTCTCTCCTAGTAGGCACAAAACTCTACAAGGCAGTGGCTATTTTATTCACTACTGTATCTCCAGCACCAAGCACAGTGCCAGGCTAGGTGAACAATGAATGATTTGTGTATTTTTTTCTCTCCTAAAGAATTGTGTTCCATAAATAATAAAAAGCATTGTCTTTTTAGCTTATGTCCCATTCAACAATTGTTTTTCACTCTCAATATTCCCTACAAACACATTTGTTTAGTATTTTTCTGATAAAATATAGCTTCCCTATGAAAAGATGCCCTTTCCTCCTTTAAAATGAATATTAAAGAGATTTCCAACTACCAGATATTTTCATAACTGATACACAAAACAAGGTTTTTAAACACCAGGTTGTTTTTCTCATATTAAATATTGGTGACATAAAATGGTATCATCTGCAAGACAAACTATTAACACTTGGAAATAATACTTTTCTAACTCTAAAATGGATTCTATGTGGAGGGAAAAAGCAGTTTTAAAGGCATGATTTAAAATGTGAAATCCTTCTGAAGGTATGCAATTTATTGGCCTTTTCAGTTTATCTGCAGTGATCTTTTACAGAACAAAAATGCAAAATGTAAGAAAGTAAAGTATCCTAAAGCAGAATCCCAAAATGGAAATATAACATACAAAACCGGTACACCAGAAATACTATGAAATATGAAATACTGATGTCACATTGCTTGGACCTCTTTTTTTTTTGAGACGGAGTTTCGCTCTTGTTGCCCAGGCTGGAGTGCGATGGCATGATCTCAGCTCACTGCAACCTCCACCTCTGGGGTTCAGGCGATTCTCCTGCCTCAGCCTCCCAAGTAGCTGGGATTACAGGCGCCCACCACCACATCTGGCTAATTTTTTGCATTTTTAGTAGAGATGGAGTTTCGCCATATTGGCCAGGCTGGTTGCGAACTCCTGACCTCAGGTGACTGACCCGCCTCGGCCCCTCAAAGTGCTGGGATTACAGGTATGAGCCACCATGCCCGGCCTCTTAGACACTTTTTTAAATCACTTGTTAAAGAAATACATTAAAATGAAAATGTTTTGGTGCCATTCAAATACTGTTACTTAAAAGCTCTGGTTTTTAAGAAGGATATAATATAATACTGGAGAAATCTGCTTTGAATTTTGGAAGGCTTTTTCACTCTAAAGCAACTGCCTTTTGAATAGGCATAATCAAAAAATGCAGTGTAAGATGATTCACAAATAGTGAAAAATAAAGCAATAGTCTTCTGTCATTTTGTTAGAGTTTCCTAATAAGGTTAAGTTCTCTTTCAACACCCCCTCTTAATCAAAGGCAGTTTTTGGTTTGTTTGGTAATACATACAAATTGCTTCATTCCACATCTGTCATTTCTAGTCCATCACTTTCTTTGACGTATACCACTGAACCCAAGGCCTTCTCAGAAAGAGATCTTGTGCCAGTCCCTTCAATCCTTGAAAAGTTTTCTTGATTTGTGTCTTCTAATCTTATTTTCTTGGTGTTTTGAAATAACTGAGTCGTTGGTTCCAACCTGCTTTTTTCAGTCCTTCGTATTAAGTGATCATCCACTTTTGAATCCATATGCATAGCAGACACCTGAGTAGATTTACTAAGTGAAAATCCCATTGGGATAGCTGAACAAATATGAAAGTAATTTTTAAGTAGTGGAAGTGTTTCTTCAACTTGATTACTGGGGGAAAAAAAAAAAAGTAAGTGAATGCAGCAGGAATTTCCCTAACTTCATGGAAATGTTTGTTTGAATGAAATGCCATGGTGATACTAGAAATATAAAGTAAAATTGCCTCCCACCTTTCAGTGTTTACATTGTCTTTGTGGGAGGCTTTGCAAGTTCTAAAGATTTCTTTGAAAGTCGTTTTAAAAGGAATTTATCTGATTTTATGTTTTATCACCTTTCAGAAAATAGTAGAGATTCTCTTAATCCTTTCATTCTTGCTAGGAAACCTCTTACTAATGGGCTAAAGAAATAACTACTGAAGGCCAAATACTCTGCTAGTATTTTATTTTCTGCAAAAAATATATTCTATAAAGATACTTGTGATTGGCTGGGCGCCCTGGCCCACGCCTGTAATGCCAGCACTTTGGGAGGCCGAGGCGGGCGGATTACCGGAGGTCAGGAGTTAAAGACCAGCCTGGCCAACATGGTAAAACCCCGTCTCTACTAAAAATACAAAAATTAGCTGGGTGTGGTGGCGTGCACCTGTAATCCCAGCTACTCAGGAGGCTGAGGCAAGAGAATCACTTGAACCCGGAAGACGAAGGTTGCAGTGATCCGAGATCGCGCCACTGCACTCCAGCCTGGGCAACAAGAGCGAGACTCTGTCTCAAAAAAAAAAAAAAAAAAAAAAAAAATACTTGTGATTAAGGATGCCCAGTCTGTTAAGAGAGATGATCGGCCGGGCGCAGTGGCTCACGCCTGTAATCCCAGCACTTTGGGAGGCCGAGGCGGGCGGATCACGAGGTCAGGAGATCGAGACCATCCTGGCTAACACGGTGAAACCCCGTCTCTACTAAAAATACAAAAAATTCGCCGGCCGAGATGGCGCCACTGCACTCCAGCCTGGGCGGCAGAGCGAGACTCCGTCTCAAAAAAACAAACAAGAGAGATGATTATGTAGCATGGAGGGAGGCCTTGGGAAGTTTCCCAAAGGAGGGGAGCCTAGGTCAGGGTTGCGCTTTCAAAGATGGGCAGGAATTTGGTAGGCAGAGTTGACCAGGATGGCAGAAGGGCAGGCTACCTGCACAATAGAGGTCTGAGAAAGCCCAGGGCTTACTGGAGAGAGTCATCTACCCAAGACGCTCTAGTGGCAACCTGAGATCTGGAGCAGATTCCACAGCTTGGACCGAAAGCACTCACCCCCCGACTTTTTTTTTTTTTTTTTTTGAGATAGAGTTTCGCCCTTTCACCCAGGCTGGAGTGAAGTGGTGTGATCTCAGCTCATTGGACCTCCATCCCCCAGGGTTAAAGTGATTCTCCTGCCTCAACCTCCTGAGTAGCTGGGATTACAGGCATACGCCACCACACCCAGCTAGTTTGTATTTTTAGTAGAGATGGGGTTTTGCCATGTTGGCCAGGCTGGTCTCAAACTCCCGACCTCAGGTGATCCAGCCACCTCAGCTCCCAAAGAGCTAGGATTACAGGCATGAGCCACTGTGCCCGGCCTCACCCACTTTTAGAATGTATTATGTCTTTAATATTTAGCTACTGTATCTTTGATAGTTTACAATTTCATACTCATCGAACTCTAATTACCGACTGAACATTTCTAAAGAATCATCTTGAAACCCTATTTATCCATATTTGTGATTGAATATCAGTGTTTATAACAAAACAGAGTCCTGGGTCTACTGTAGTAGCCTAAATATAGTAGCTACTCACGTATTAATATAACAATTAGGTAAATAGTATATATTTGGCTTTCTGGGAATCAAATACAACTTAGCTAAAATTTTAAAGATCTCTGATGAAATTCTGAAATATGGGTATACTTGTTTTTTAGATTTGGAACTTGAAGATGAATTTTTCTTCCTCATCAAAAGAATATCTAATACTGCCTTCAAATTAATAAAATTGAGTTTATTCTATTCTTTGGTTTCTCTTTTTGTTAGAAAGGAAATACTCCTGTCAAATGCACAACTTGAATCTAAACCTGAGGAAACAATCAGATAAACCCAAACAGAGGTATCCTCTATGAAACAAATAGCTTCTACCTAAAAATGTCAATGTTATGAAAGACACAGAGAAGCTGAGCAGATTCAGATTAAAGGAGGCTAAAGATACATTATTTCAAATGCAACCAATGCTCTTGAGTTGGGAAGGGGATGGAATGTACTACAAAGATCATTACTTAGATAACTGCAACATTTGGATATTTCACAATATTAGATAATAATATTGGATCAATGTGATAGATGCCATGAATGTGATAATTGTGATAATTATATATAATATTATATATATTATTAATGTGATAATTGTATAAGTCAATGTCCTTGTTCTCAGACAATACATACTGAAATAGTTGGGGGTGAAGAATCATATCTGCAAGTTGCCCTCAAATTGTTTAGCAATAGAGAGATAGATACATAGATACAGAAAGAGAGTAAAATATGCAACATCCTAACAACTGTTAAATCTAGGAGGTAAAGCTTAAAAAGTTGTTCTAATTATTATTATTACATTTCTGTAGGTTTAAAACTTTTTCAAAATACAAAATTGAAAAAAGATTTTTAAAAAACACAAAACTCGATAAAACATTGCATTTGAAATCAACAAACGTAAAATAATGATAACTTATATAATTATCAATGTGTACATTAAATTTCAATCTAATAAAAGGACTGAGGAGGAACCAAATACAATAGGGTAAACTTGGCCCTGTGATTCTCACCTTAACTTCCCCAGAGTTGAGGACATGAAGGGTGAACAAGTCTATTGGGGGCCTCTTTGGACTGGCATTTAGGTTGCCATTCAAGAAGAAATCTGGAATATACATGTAAGAATAAAGGTACGTAAAGAGATAAATCAAGCTGGACAAAAAGAACAAAGAGGCTTTCTTTACCAGATATTAAGATATGCTACATGGCTGGCTCACGCCTGTAATTCCAGTACTTTGGGAGGCCAAGGTGGAAGGATCTCTTGAGTCTAGCAGTTTGAGACCAGCCTGGGCAACATAGGGAGACCTCATCCCTACCAGGAAAAAAAAAAAAAAAAAAAAAAGATATGCCACAAAGTGAAAGTAATAAAAATAACCTTGTACAGGTACAGGAACAAATAGTAGAATATGACAGAGCTATAACTACTCGGACTTAGGCATTTGAGGAACTTCACATATGTTATAAGGCAAAAGAGACAGAACAGACTAAGTTTAGTATGATAGCATTGTGAACATTGGCTCACTATGTGGACAAAAGTTAAGCAGGATCTTAAATACAGAAGTGGGCTGGGCGCGATGGCTCATGCCTGTAATCCCAGGCCTTTGGGAGGTTGAGATGGGTGGATCACAAGGTCAGGAGTTAGAGAACAGCCTGACCAACATGGCGAAACCCCGTCTCTACTAAAAATACAAAAATTAGCTGGGTGTGGTGGCGGGTGCCTGTAATCCCAGCTACTCAGGAGGCTGAGGCAGGAGACTCGCTTGAACCCAGGAGGTGGAGGTTGCAGTGAGCCGAGATCATAACATTGCACTCCAGCCTGGGTGACAGAGCAAGACTCCGTCTCAAAAAGAAAAGAAAAAAAGAAAAGAAAAAAAAAAGTGGAGTACAAATGCATTAAAGACCTAAATGTGAATGGCAGGACTGTAAATGCAATATTAGACAATGAAGGACACTATATCTGTTACCTTGGGGTGAAGAAAGATTTCTTGAACAAGACCTAAAAAGCTTGAACAATAAGGGAGGAAATCAGGTGAGTCTGATTACTCGTAATTGGGAATTTCTATTCAATGAAAAAAATATAAACAAAAAGATAAGAGACTGGAAGGAGATATTTTCTGTGTCCAAAGCTGATGGTATTTAGTGGCTGGAATAGAAAGAGAACACCTACAAATTAGCAAGGAAAAAGTAATCCCGCTAGAAAAATGGGCAAAGGATATAAAAACATAATTCAAAGACTGAGGAATCCCAAACAGATGAGAGTACATAAAGAGATATTCAAACTTAACTAGGAATCAGAGAAATTCAAGTTGCAAAGACAGTGCAACCTCCGCTCTCCGGGTTCCCATGATTCTCCTGCCTCAGCCTCCCGAGTAGCTGGGATTATAGGCACCTGCCACCATGCTCGGCTAATTTTTGTATTTTTAGTAAAGATGGTGTTTCACCATGTTGGCCAGGCTGGTCTTGAACTCCCGACCTCAAGTGATCTGCCCTCCTTGGCCTCCCAAAGTGCTGGGATTACAGCATGAGCCACCGTGCCCGACCACATCTGGCTAATTTTTAAAACTCATTTTTTGTAGAGACAGGTGTCACTGTGTTGCCTAAGCTGGTCTCAAACTCCTGTCCTCAAGCAATTCTCCCACCTCCCAAAGTGCTGGGATTACTGGCGTAAGCCACCACGCCTGGACTGGTTTGAACCTTTTAGAACAAAATCCAGATCACAGCAGTCCTCTGCTCAACACACTCTAGTTGCTTCCCACCTCAGAGACAAAACCAAATTATTTACATATCTAGTCCCCAGCTGTGGTAGGCAGAATAATAGTCTCCAAAGATGTCTTTGTCCTAATCCCCAGAAGCTGTGACTATGTTATGTTATGTGGCAAGGGGGAATTAAGGTTGCTAATCAGCTGACTCTGAGGGTGGGAAAATTCTCCTGGATTAATTGGGTGGTACCAATGTAATCACTAGGGATTTTTGTTTGTTTGTTTGTTTGTTTTTTCTTTTTGGGACAGAGTCTTACTCTGTTGCCCAGGCTGGAGTGCAGTGGCATGATCTAAGGTGACTGCAGCCTCCGCCTCCTGGGTTCAAGTGATTCTTGTGCCTCAGCTCCCAAGTAGCTGGGATTATAGGTGCACACCACCATGACCAGTTAATTTTTGTATTTTTTGGGAGAGACAGAGTTTTGCCATGTTGACAAGGCTGGTCTTGAACTCCTGACCTCAAGTTATCTGCCTGCCTCGGCCTCCGAAAATGCTGGGATTGTAGGTGTGAGCCACCGTGCCTGCCACACAAGAGTCTTTAGAAGTAAAAGAGGGAGGTAGAATGTGTTAGCTATGATGCAATGTGTTAGCCATGATGCAATGTGAGGAGGACTTGACTGGCCATTTTTGGTGTTGAACATAGACTGGGATCACAAGGGCTGCCAGTAGAAGCTGGGCTGCCAGTAGAAGCTGGAAAGGCAAGGGGGATTTTCCCCTAGAGCCTCCAAAAGGAATGTAGACCTGCCTGACATGTTGATTTTAGCCCAGTGAGACCCATTTTGAACTTGTAAATCTCCAGAACCGAGTGATAATAAATTTGTGTTGCTTAAAGACACCAAGCGTGTGGTAAATTGTTGTAGCAGCCGTAGCAAACAACTCTACCAGCAAACACTCTCTCCTGTCTCTTTCCCTTATTCTACCCCAGACCTATCACCCCATTGCTGTTCCTCAAGAATATTCTATGCCAAACCCTCTCCTGCTTCAGGACCTTTGCACTTACAGTTCCCCCAGCTTGAAGCAATTTCTGCATTGCAAACCACTTCCCTTGAGGATAGTTAGTAACATGGGGCCTGGGATTGTGAAGAATGGCAGACTTCTGCTGCTAGTCATGATGGAGTAACAGAGACCAGACTTATCCTCATGCTTTCAGCATCTATTTTTTTTTTTTTTTTGAGACGGAGTTTTGTTCTTGTCCCCCAGGCTGGAGTGCAATGGCACGATCTCGGCTCACTGCAACCTCTGCCTCCTGGGTTCAAGCGATTCTCCTGCCTCAGCCTCCCGAGTAGCTGGGATTACAGGCATGTGCCACCATGCCTGGCTAATTTTGTATTTTTAGTAGAGACAGAGTTTCTCCATGTTGATCAGGTTGGTGTCGAACTCCCGACCTCAGGTGATCTGCCTACCTTGGCCTCCCAAAGTGCTGGGATTACAGGCGTGAGCCACCGTGCCCAGCCTGCCTTCAGCATCAAAACACAAAACACATGAAGCAATGGCTTTTAGATATTGGACAATAGGAAGTTTGGGAGAGTGATCCTTGACAGAAAGGAAATAAAGTAAGTCCTATGAATGGACATTGCCTAGAACTTTCAGACCTCAGCATAAGGAGGAAACTATCTGATTTAAAAAAAGGAACACAGCATCAGTGAGCTGTGGAACAAGATCAAGTGGCTTAACACATATGTAATTGTAGTCCCAGGTTTTTTTTTTTGAGGGGATCAGGAAGAGAACAGTGAAAAAAAAAAAGTAATAATAGAGGTTTTTGTAGTGAAATTCTTGAAATGATGGAAAAACGAAGGGACTAGAAAACCCAGACCTTAGAAGGTGTCTGTCACGAGAGAGAGAGAGCACAGGGTACTATATAAGGCTTAGCCTGGGCCAGGCACAGTGGCTCATGCATATAATCCCAGCACTTGGGAGGCTGAGGTGGGCGGATCACTTGAGTCCAGGAGTTCAAGACCAGCCTGGGCAACATGGTGAAACCCCATCTCTACAAAAACATACAAAAATTAGCTGGGCATGGTGGCACATACCTGTGGTCCCAGCTACTCAAGAGGCTAAGGCAGGGGAACTGCTTCAACCTGAAAGGTGGAGGGTGCAGTGAGCTGAGATCATGCCAACATACTCCAGCCTGGGTACTGGGCAACAGAAGGAGACTGTCTTAAAAAAAAAAAAAAAAAAAAAAAGGCCGGGCGCAGTGGCTCACGCCTGTAATCCCAGCACTTTGGGAGGCTGAGGCGGGTGGACCACGAAGTCAGGAGATTGAGACTATCCTGGCTAACACTGTGAAACCCTGTCTCTACTAAAAATAATAATAAAAAAAAGTTAGCCGGGTGTGGTGGTGGGCGCCTGTAGTCCCAGCTACTTGGGAGGCTGAGGCAGGAGAGCGGCGTGAATCTGGGAGGCAGAGGTTGCAGTGAGCCAAGATCATGCCACTGCACTCCAGCCTGGGCA